ATCCCAACACTTGGCGGCACACCAGTATCAACCTTGGCTGGATAAATCTTCTCAGATTTATCCAATGGCTGTGAACATTTAAAACTAACACGAGTCTCAATAAGTGTCCAGTTTTAGGGTCTTACACAGAATCAAACCAAACATCATGAATCAAACATGCACTTTATTTATTTACGCTAAATGTCAAAAGTACATCAAATCAGATTGAAGCTAAGGGCAAACAAAACTGTCTAACAATGGGGCTAGTCGTTAGGACCCCGTGTGGCACTTGAATGCGACGAGTAAGCTTAAGCAACAAGCAACAACACAAGAAAATGCAACAAAGATGACACACAAATTAGATAAAAGGCAAATTGTATTGCATTAATGGATGGCAAGCATAAGCACACAGTTCAGTGTCGAGGGGATCTCATGCTTAACCTTTACATGCTCATGACTCACTCAATTACCTACCTCCCCTCAAAGAGTACATTAAGCTTTTGGGGGAATAACAATAGAAAACATCAAAATGATGAAAAATCGTACTATGTAATTACAATAACGCCATTGGCGGTCCCCCCTTACAAAATACATGCAAAACCCACCCATGACATACATGTTGACACCACGAAGGCACGCGGTTGGCACTCTAATGGCTCACGATAGGTGCTTTGATGGCGCGACGAAGGAATCACCTGTGACACTAGGGCATGAGATGAAGAAGAAAAGAGAATAGGAAGGAAAAGAGAGAGAGACGAGAAAGAAAGAAAAGAGGGAGCTTTGCAGCGAGAAAGTGAGGAGTCTTTGCGCGTGATTGTGTTTGGGTACCAAACTAATCGGCGATTACTTTCTTTGTCCGCCAAAATTGTAAGGGAAAAATTATAATTTTAGTGGCATTAAGAAGTGCCTCTAAAATAACCCTCTAAGTTTGCCTCCTATAATGCATTATAGAGGCAGTTTTTGTGACTGCCTCTCGCCAATTGCCTCTAAACATAGAAATTCTAGTAATGTGTACAAATCCGATTTGACAAGATTTGGATAAGATTGGATCCAATCCAAAATCGATTGATTGACACCCCGAGTCCAAACTAGGGACTTAAGGCCCAATTCTTAGGGTTGGGCCTAAATTGAGCTTAAACCTGGCCCAGGTCACCCTGGCTTGCACCCATATGCTAGCTAATTACATCAATGATCAGATACGGGAAGTTTAGGGGCTCTCATCCATTTGCCCTTGTTCATATAGATTCAAATTAAACTATACTTGTTCTATGGTTGGGAGTTGATTTGAATTTTGACTGCTCCACTTAACTCGTTTAATTGTGCAAATCAGATGTTCATTATGAAACCAAGGTTGGGCCTAAGTATTAAATAGTGCCGTACCATACGTTGCAAGCCCAAGTTAGCTAATTATTGCTTGATGCTTCATTTTATATATTGATCAAACAATCAATTCAACCATAAATAAAATTTTATTTTATGAGATACAGTTAGACCATAGAAGTAATCATCGTTTTGTTTTCAGCTAGTCATAAGGCCCGACTCCTGAACTGCTTGAGAAATGTGATTAATTTGATCCCTACTCCATCACCATTACTGTGTACATTACATTGAAAGATCTAAATTAAAGTAGATATAATGGTAATCCAGGAACTGCTCGTCGGTCCTTTAATTATAAGAGCATATCTTCAATTGAACATCATCAATGGGTAGCCTATCTGTAGGGAAAGAGCAACTCTTACTCCCCGTCGACCCCTGATCGGACAACAAATCGCACGGCGGAGGGGTCACATCTCTGGCAACTCCCTGAATATCGGTGCAGTTCCATTGCACTTTCTTTGGTTTTGGAGACAACCCAATCGTCACATTCGAAATGCATATACCTGTAAATGGGTCTCCATTAATTCCCTCCAACTTTGCAGGAATGGTCACATTTTCAGCAGTCATATCCATCCAATTGATCCCATGGACATCTGGGAGCGCTTTGGGATCATATTTTTCATCTGGGTGTTGCCCATAAGAGCCAGTCATCCAGAACACATACTTCATGGTGTTCATATTCATCCTTCTCACATATATGTCTTTGACGTATGCTCCTCTTCCTGGAGCAGTTTTAATCCTCACGCCTGACTCTGAGTTGATGGCTACGATGTCTTCAGCCCTGACGTCTTGGATGCCGCCGGACATCTCGCTTCCCAGCGCGATGACAGCGCTGGTCGGAGAAATACATGTCAACCTTCTGATGATGAGGTGCTGTGTCGGCATCCCGAAAGCAATTCCATATTCATCCCAACCACTTTTTACAGCAATGCAGTCATCTCCAGATACTATGTAGCAGTCCTCAATTCTAACGTTATTGCAGGAATCTGAGAAGAGCAAGAGATCAAAGAAGAGTATTAACCATGATTTCACGAGGATTCATTGATGGCCGTTTGACGTTTTGCATTCATTATTAATTAACCTGCAGAATCAGAGTTAATTACCTGGGTCGATCCCGTCGGTGTTGGGAGAATTGACTGGAGCGAGGATAGTAATCCCCTGGATTATAACATTACTGCACATTTTTCAAATTCCGATAGGAGATTAAACTGGAAGAGTAACCTCGATCTAAAAGGAGAAATGAACAGTCGATATTGGAAGAACATTCCATGAAGGAGTAATATATAAGCAAACCTGCAATAAGTGGGATGAACATTCCATGAAGGAGAGTTGACCAAGGTGAGATTGGATATCTGGACCTGATCCGAGTACAAGATTTCAATCAGGTAGGGTCTGGTATTTTTGATTTTCTTTTGGTGGAACTTGCCCCACCAATGTTCACCTTGGCCGTCGATCGTGCCATTGTCACCTGCAATCAAATCCATTAATGGATCCATCGCCACCAGGTTAAATCAATAATATATTTAAGTAAACAAATTAAACGAATTTGGATCAAAACAAGAGTGTTCTTAATTACCTGTGATTACAACGTCGGTGAGATTGGTTCCAAAAATGAGGCTGATATATCTTCCACCGGGGGCGTCTCTTCCCCTTCCGTAAGAAGGCAAAGGATCAATAATTGGATACTCACTCTCATCCTATAAAGTTCATCAAGATCAAATAAAATAAAGGTGAAATCATGGTGACGACAATTCAAAAAAGCAACCTTGATTCTTAAATCTCTCTCTCTCTCTAGTCAGATTATATTATCATAATTAACCAGGACTGACTGACCCACGATTGAGTAAACTCATGCATTGATCATGTTAATCAAATATCCAGTTCATAATGTTAACCACAATTTAATTTATACATCCCGTACAAATTAATGTCTATTGACATGGAATGCAATTAACAGTGATATATAGAGATGGAGAAAGAGTAGAGAAGGGAACCAGACCACAGAACCAAGGATAGTAGCGTCCTTCTGAAGATAAAGGGTGAAATGGCTGGTGAGATTGAAGCTCCCCGTCAGCCATTTTCCTGGCGGAACAATGAGCTGGGCACCACCGTCAGAGGAAAACTGACTGAGATGATTAATTGCCGCCTGAAAGGCCTTGGTGTTCACCGTTGTTCCATCGCCCACGGCTCCGAAGTCCGTCAGTGATGCGCTATGCTTTCGACAATTTATTGCCTGGTACTCCAGCTGTGATCCCAAAGTTTTCAATGAACGGCACTCCGGCACTTTCAACCCCAGCAATCCGAACAAAACAAAAATCGATAGTATCTTCATTGCCTGCGTTGAAAGAGAACTTATTAGGAACACATTAGAGTAAAAATATGAATTAATATATAAAATGATAAATGAACGAACTTCAGCTCTGAAAGAACAAAAGAAAGAATGAAAAGAGCAAACGATGAGAAAGGAGTAAGCATACAACTGGAAACCCATCGAACTAAATCACCAAAACGCCTCTTTGTAACAATAATAATAGTAGTAGTAATAGAAGAAGAAGAAGAAGACATGAGTTATTTGAGAGACTTACAGAGAAATCCATTTTCTCTGAAACGTAGAGTAGGATAGTGTGATATTTCTTCTGGTGTTGCAAAATATTTATAGCAATGATTTTGACCTTTCCCAATCCTAAAAATCCATACTTGTTTGTGTCCAAAAAGATAGAGAAAGTCAGAATTACGTTTCAAAGGAAGGTTCTGATGTACTTAATAATATTGTAACCGTTTGAGTGAGGTGTCTTAGTTATTACAAGATTTCCCTAAATGGGAAAATATCTTTTAAAGAGGGGCTGCCACCGCAACTGCCCATTTTGATCGGGCTGCTACTTCCAGCTTATTCTGTGATACGGGTCGGGTTCAAGTTGGGTCCATACTCAGTCCCTATAACCCTATTATGTGTCTTATTGGTTTGGGCCCGGATATGACCCAGGTTGTTACAAACACGAGCTCACCAAATCATTGGACATAATTGATATATGTGAAGATTGACATGATCCCATTGCATAATAGTAAAATCTAAATTTTCCTTTTATATAATATTTTAGGTTTAGGCAGGATTTGATTTTAATATATATTAATAAACCTGAGATGGGCCCATTTATGCCTTCCGCTCAAATTTGGCAGATTGGAACCTCGTAGATAATTAAAGCATGGTGTGTTAATGGATGTAAATAATATAATATTAGAGATACTTAAAAAATTTGTGCACATCTTTACAGATATATTTAAATTTCCTTAATATGATAAATATATAATTTTAGAGATATGGACATTTTTTTTGTATTTTTGTATTTCCTATAATTTCTTATTTTTATTTATTTTTTCAGTTTTTATTATATAATTATGGCATCATGGGTTGATGAATTGACTGAAAAGAAAAAATGATATCACTTTTGGGTGGATTTAAATTTTTTTATTCTATTTCCATAATTATAAGAAATATTATATATTATATATGATGGATATATAATATTATAGATATGCTCAATACTTTTCACAAAGTTTGTATTTTAATATTTTAATTTAATCTTAATTTTTTATTATTTAATTATGACATCATGGGTTAAATACTTACCTGCCACTTAGACAAAGAACAAATTCATTTTTAGGGTTAGTTATAAACACAAACCTCCCAACCTGTACCCTCCCCAAAACCTACAGCATGTTGGATTTTTAGAGTCCAAACCCTCCTCGCATATGGAAAAGAAAAATCCTCCCGACCCTACCCTCCTTGTACTTGAGGGATGGGGTGGATCGGGCCCCAAACGCATGCATCTAGTTTTCTATTATTTCTTGTTTTATATAAGCAGTAAACCAACAAAACAACATGATTAAACATAAAAAATTTCAATTATTTGATTAAAACATGTAGATAACACATAGACTATCAATTATCTATCACATAAGATTCAAAACATTTTTAAATTCAACATAGATATACATAATTACATATGCTTACAACAACAAAGAAAAATCCCCCTAGTATATTGGTAATTTAATTATACGCACTGGAGGTATTTTAATAAATTCAATTATGGGTCAAGGAGGGTTGGGTTTAGCTTAATACCATACCCTACCATACCAATATGGGTTGTAAGATCCCAAAAAGACTTGCCCCTACACAAAATCTGTTTTTCAAACAAAAAAAAGTAAATAAAAAATGAGTAGGGGTAGGTACCCACTAGGTAGGGTGGGAAGTGTCATCCCTAGTTGTATTATTAAAATTATTGGATATAGATTAGTAGAATTTATTGGTGAGTAAACAATACTTTTAGTATAACATTTAATAAGAGAGAATGAGAGTCAATGTCTTAAATATAGCACTTAATGAGAGGGAGTTAAATGAAATGAGAGTAGTTGTTAAAATTACATTTTTGCCCTTGGTTAGAGAGGAATCAAATTCAAAAGTAGTGGTATTTTAGCTAAGAAAAATCCATAAAGATCATTTCTTTAATATGCATTTAATGAGATGGAATGAAAATTAATATTATAAATGCAAGACTTGATGAAAGGGAGAACGGAATGAACTTAAAAGCATCAATTCAAATTATGTTTTTTTCCTTCAAAATAAAGGGGCCAATTTAAAAGAAGGTATTTTAGTTAAGAAAAATTCTAGAATCTATAATTCATTCCCACTTCTATTAATAGTATAGATATAGATTAATAACTAGTGGGAACGAAAAAATGAAAGAAAAGAAATTGATTAATATTATAAAGAAGGAATGTAATGTTGTTTAAAATAATTAATCTTTATTTTAGTAATTTTTTAGAACAAAATTTAGTAATTTAGTAATTTGGATTAATTATATTAATAATTTTCAATAAGAATAATTATTTTTTCCATATTATCTATTAGTGTTCTATTTTATTTGTTTTACTTTATCAATGATTTAGTGCTATAATTTTTGTAAGTGTATTTTAAAATAATTAATCTTTATTTTACTTTATTAATGATTTACTCTTAATTAAATTAATATAAGCCCGAACTCAAATTTTAAGACTTCGGGTTAGGCTTTGGTTGATCCTCAACTTGACCCAACCCCCTAAGAGCAATGTGACACTTGTAATTAGACTGAACCAAATTGAGCACAACCTATGCATGCATTATTTTTGGGATTTTTACTATTTTTAGATAAAAATTATTTATATTGAACCTGAAGCAGCTATGGGTGATGGACTACACCCATTGTGTAGTCTAATCAACTAGAAACATAAAAGATCTCAGGCCAGATTTTGATAATGTATTAACAATTTTAGAGGTTGCTTAACCTAGCCTAGCCCACACCCTAAGCATAATAATATTTGTCTAGGCATGTATAGGGGCAAGCTTGCCTATGTTAATTAAAAACTATGATTTTTTATAAATTAAAATTTTATTTAAATTTAGTTTATTATAAAAAATATATAAAATTTCTATCTATATCTTAATATAAAATTTGTTTTATATATATAGTGTGATAACTCATAAACTTAATGTGGACCCTTTAGTCAGGCCAGTTAGACAAAGAAAACGTAACCTCACCCCGGCAGCAGTGGAGGGTAGTTGATGAGGTCAGGAAGCTCCTTGCCACAGACTTCATCAGGGAGGTCCATTACCCGAGTTGGGTCACCAATCCCATGCTTGTGAAGAAAGCCAATGGCAAGTGGCGCATGTGCGTCAACTACACTAACCTGAATAAAGCCTACCCAAAGGATTGATTCCCCCTGCCTAGAATAGATTGCATGGTAGACGCGACCTCAGGGGCATGAGTTGCTGAGTTTCATGGATGCCTACTCCGGCTACAACCAGATTAGGATGAACACAACCGACCAGGATAAAGCTGCTTTTGTAACCGAACTTGGGTTGTAGTGTTATAAAGTCATGCCCTTTGGTTTGAAAAGTGTTGGAGCAACTTTCCAGCGACTTGTAAACAATGTTTTTGAGCCTTTGATTGGCAATAAATTGGAGTGTTATGTTGATGACATGGCCGTGAAGACCCAATTTTCTAGATCTTTAATCGATGATTTAGACGTTGTTTTTCAAATTTTAAGGAAATACAATATGAAGTTAAACCCAAACAAGTGCGTCTTCAAGGTCACGTCGGGCAACTTGCTCGGTTACATAGTGAACCAACGTGGCATCGAAGCTAATCCGGATAAAATCAAGGCTATTTTAGATATGTGACTATAGCAAAAAATCAAATAGGTCCAACGACTAACTGCCGAGTAGTTGCCCTAAAGTCTAAATCGGTAGGTCGGTGCTTACCCTTTTCTAAGGCAATAAAAAAGAATGACAATTTCGAATGGACTAAAGAGTTCCAGCTCACGTTTGATGAGCTGGAAAGGTATTTGAGTACCACCCTGGTTTTAACCTGACCTAAGGAAGGAGATGTGTTGAAGCTGTACTTCTCCGCGAGTGACGAGGTGGTCAGCTCGATATTGATCAGAGAAGTAGATCAGGTCCAATGACCAATCTACTATGTAAGTAAAGTCTTGCAGGACGCAAAAACCAAACATCCTGACATCGAGGAGTTGGCGTACGCGCTAATAGTAGCAGCTTAGAAATTGTGCCCATACCTTCGTCATCCTTACTAATAGACCTCTGAGGCACATCTACTTAAGCCCAAGGTGTCAGGGAGGTTGACGAAGTGGTCGATCGAGCTAAGTGAGTACAATATCCGGTTCAAGCCACAACCAACGATCAAAATCCAAGTCTTGGCGGACTTCGTAGTAGAATGCACGTTCAACACACCGGCCCCTGAACTGATTGAGCCCGCTAACGTGTCAGAGGCATCAACCAGTGCGGCACCGGTCCCGGTCAAAGTAGTACCGACCTGGGATGAGGGGCCCTGAGTCCACCACGTAGACAGCTCGTCCAACCAGTGAGGAAAAAGTGTTGGACTGATACTGTACGTCCTGAGCAAGGTGAAGTTGGAGTACGCTCTTCGGTTTGGATTCAAGGCGTCGAACAATGAGGTGGAGTATGAAGCACTAACTGCTGGGCTAAACAAAGCGAAGGAAATGGGTACAAAACATCTCATCATGTGCAAGCGACTCACAACTAGTAGTTAACCAAGTCAATGGTGATTATGAAGCATGTGACTCAATTATGGCGGCCTACTTAACCAAAGTCAGGAAGATCCTACCAGGCTTTAGCTCTTGTTTCATTAGGAAAATACCAAGGTCCAAGAACGCTGAAGTTGATGCCTTGTCACGACTAGCAAGTACCAGTGACAACACCATGCGAACTGTGTACATAGAGGACCTAGTTGGATTGACCCGCTCGTTGATTATCTGCTC